ATGGTATTGCCCTAGCTGGTTTGGCTCAGTGGACAGAGCGTTGCCTGCGGACCCAAGGGCCCCGGGTTCGATTCTGGTCAAAGACACATACCTTGGTTGCAGGCTCCTCCCTGGCCTGAGCCCTGGGGGCTTATGCAGGAGGCAACCAACCCATGTATTTCTCTTACATCCATGTTTCTTTCCCTCCCTCTACTTTTCCTGTAAAAAAAAAATGTCAATGGAAAAATATCCTTGGTTGAGAATTAACAACAACAACAAAAAGAAGCATGGTATTGAATAATCTCAGGGGGTGGGGGAGGGGGTGCTTTTCTAGAATAATCCTCATCCTGATAGATATCAGGGAAGTGGATCAGACACCCCTAATTCCTGTCCTGAAACAGTTTCTCCACTTCGGCAGCTAAAAAAGATCTCCTTTCCTCCAAGGAAGGAACATGCAGTCACTGCACCAGGCCCTGGGGCCCATAGCTCTTGGCAGAACTTCACAAACCCTACGGTAGGCGGTTGACCTTGCTAGGGGCTCTGAGGGAGGTGCAAGACCCTCTTGCTTGTGGGTTCCCCCCCCTCCCCCCTTGAAGGAACACTGGACAGTAACATTTGTGTGAAGAGCAAATGACCTCTGATGGGAAGGTTAGGATGAAAATACCCCCAATCTGTAAGCAAAGGAGTAGGAGTGTCCTAGAGGCACACGGGGTCCCCACCCTCAATCTTCTCGTCCTGGGCTTGGCTTTAAGACAAGTCAGATAACATGCGTGTCTGGATGCTTTTCCTGCGGCCTCAGTGGAAGCACTGATTAGGAAAAGTTTCCCACCTTTGCCTGAGGCCAGTGGAAATATTCTTCAGGTCCAGTAGAGAGAGAAAAAAAACAAACAAACACAAGACCTGGTCTGTTTTAGCTCACCCTGGTGTCCTTCCTGAAGGGTCTGTGGAGTGTTGTTTACTAGCTGTTCCTGTTACCTTCCCCTGGCGTCGGGACAGGCACCCAGCCAATCCCTGCTTCTTCAGTTCCTCAAAGAAACAACTGCAGCCCTAGCCGGTCTGGCTCAGTGATAGAGCATCGGCCTGCAGACTGAAGGGTCCTGGGCTTGATTCTGGTCAAGAGCACACTCCCGGGTTTCGAACTCCATCCCCAGTAGGGGGCGTGCAGCAGGCAGCCGACCAATGATTTTCTCATCATTGATGTTTCTAAACTTTCTCTCCCTCTCCCTTCCTTTATGAAATCAATAATTAAAAAAATACTCTCCAGGAATATTATAACCATTTTGCCTGATCTGAACTAAAATAATAGGAAAGGGAAGGGACATGGGCAATAAACATATGTTGAGAACCTAGTATGTTCCAGACCTTTATTTCAGATCAGTGGTCGGCAAACTCATTAGTCCACAGAGCCAAGTATCAACAGTTCAACGATTGAAATATCTTAAACTTCTTCCAATGCCACTTCTTCTAAATGATTCGCCCAGGCTGTGGTATTTTGTGGGAGAGCCACACTCAAGGGGCCAAAGAGCCGCATGTGGTTCGCGAGCCAAGGGTTTGCAGACCACTGTCTCAGATGATTCTCACAATCACCCTTTGAGGGTGTTGCTATCCCTGTTTTACAGACAAGGAATTCAAGGCTTAGAGAAGATGAAAACTAAAGAATTTGTGAAAACTGCCAAAACTGATTTGGCTCAATGGATAGAGCGTCAGCTTGGGGACTGAAGGAACCCGGGTTCTGTTCCTGTCAAGGGCATGTACCTTGGTTGCGGGCATATCCCCAGTAGGGGGTGTGCAAGAGGCAGCTGATCAATGACTCTCTCTCATCCATGTTTCTAACTCTCTATCTCTCTCCCTTCCTCTCTGTACAAAATCAATTATATATATATATATATAAAGAATTTGTGAAAACTAAGAATGTGAATCAGGGTCCGTCAGACTCCAGAGCCCACGTTTCCCTTCCCGTGACCGCTGCCTCCAGGGACTTCTCCAGTATGTTCAGAGGCGAGTCAGTCCCACGGGAAACTCCCATCTTTGTTTGCCACTGATCTGCACTCTATGTTCACATTGAAACGTATCGCAAAGTGCTCTTGCTCAAGTTCAGCACGAGCATAGTTAGTTAGTTCCCCAAGTTCTCTGAAGAAATGCATGTCTCTTTTAGGAAGCCACACGTGAGAAAGAAGCACATTCAGTTGGATAATGTGATGATGGAAACACAGACCCCACAACCCTGCTCCCTGGATGTGCCCAAAGCTCAGACTGCATTCTGAACAAGGCACTCACGCGCAGGAGCAGACCATGGACAGTCAAGGACATCCTACCCTGTCCTGGTGCATCGCTAGTTGGGCTCCATTGCAGCACCATTTCTCCCAGCTGCAAGGTCAGAGCTTGCAGACTCCATCTGTGGAGGATTACCAGTGTTTTATTTGTTTTTTATTTTATTTAAAAAAAATATATTTTATTGATTTTGTACAGAGAGGAAGGGAGAGAGATAGTTAGAAACATCTATGAGAGAGAGTCATCAATCAGCTGCCTCTTGCACACCCCCTATTGGGGAAATGCCCACAACCAAGACACATGCCCTTAACCGGAATTGAACCCGGAACCCTTCAGTCCCCAAGCCGACGCTCTATCCATTGAGCCAAACCAGTTTTGGTAGATTACCAGAGTTTTACAATGAGGTACCTGCCTCCCCTCTCATAGGAATCTCTGCTCCTTATAGAACATTCATGGAGTCTATCTATGATCTTGTTCTGACTTCCCAGAGATTTCCTAGGAGACAAGACATTTAATTAACAGAGCCATTCCATCGTGCGCGCACACAGGCAATCCGGCAGGAGAAAAGAGGCATTGATTTCTGAAAATCATCCTCAGACCCCATCTCACATTTCCCAGATAACCAAAATAGTTCCTCCCATTAGGCAAATATGCTGGCGCTATAATCAGGAGCTAAACGAAGTACTAGAGGAAAGAGAGAGCAGGAGGAAAAATAGTCAGTGGACCGAAGAATAAATTTTTCTCTTTGAATTTCTCTATTATGTGTTTGATGAAGGGAGAGAGACCACCGCCACACAATTTTTACATTTTTGTCCCTGGCCAGAGGAAATATTCTTTAGTTATGTATTCATCTTATTTGTGACTTTCGGACTGGGACAATGAGAAGCTTTGGGAAATGAAAGACAAATAGAATCATAGTAGGTGATTGAGGTATTATTTTGTTTTAAATGTATTTGACCAGAATCAAACCTGGGACCCTTCAGTCCACAGGCCAACGCTCTACCCACTGAGCCAAACCGGTTAGGGCTGTTTTTGTTTGTTTGTTTGTTTGTTTTCTTTTTTTAATATATTTTATTGATTTTGTACAGAGAGGAAGGGAGAGAGATAGATAGTCAGAAACATCGATGAGAGAGAGTCATCAATCAGCTGCCTCTTGCACACCCCCTACTGGGGATATGCCCGCAACCAAGGTACATGCCCTTGACCGGAATCGAACCCGGGACCTTTCAGTCCCCAAGCCGACGCTCTATCCATTGAGCTAAACCAGTTTCGGGCTAGGGCTGTTTTTTTGTTTTGTTTTGTTTTAATTTTTATTCTGTCTTCATGAGTTCTGGGGTAATGTAATTACTTCATACTCACAAAGTTTTGAGCCATTATAAAGGCTTATAACGAAGGTCAGATGATGATGGCATTTGAAACATAAACTGGGCAACAACCTCAATCTATGTTATGTTTTTTTTATATTTGCATATATTATAAATTTTAAAATATATATCTTTTAGTACATATGTAAATTATGCACACATCCTGTTCTACATTGTAAGAACTAAAAACACTTAAATTTAGGATGGCTCTATGAAAAATTGAAGCCCTTAAGTTATACATGAAAATATATTAGTTGTTGGAAATTCACATATTTTACTAATCACTATACTCAACATTAGGTTTTAATCATTTCCTGGAACATTAAAATGTACTTTCCATATTAGATATAATACAAGCTGTTTCAAAATTTTCCATAAAATCAAATGACACTCAAAACCACCTGCATCCTTAGGACCAGTTTCCAGTATACTGTAGCCTTTTCTTCCTTCATCTTATCACTTGTTCTCATAAGATTTTGCTTCATTTTTGCTCCCTAACCTTACCACTTCCCAATATTCAGAAACCAGAGCAAATAATTAGTCTGATTTCCTGCAGAAAAAAAAATATTAGGTATACCATCATTCTTTCATCTATCACAGAAACAAATTATGCTTATTTTATTATTATTTTTAAATCCTCACTTGAGGATATTTTTTCCATTGATTTCTTGAGAGAGTGTAAGGGAGGGAGAAGGGAGCAGAGAGAAAAACACTGATGGATGAAAGTGTGTGTGTGTGTGTGTGTGTGTGTGTGTGTGTGAGAGAGAGAGAGAGAGAGAGAGAGAGAGAGAGAGAGAGAGAGAGTGATTGGTTGCCTCCTGTGAGCGCCCCTACCAGAGCTGGGGGACCTGCAACCCAGGTATTTGCCCTTAACCAGAAATCAAACCTGTGACCCTTCAGTCCTTAAGCTGAGGCTCTAACCACTGAGCAAACTGGCCAGGGCTGTGCTTATTTGAGGATGTCATTTTTGTGTACTGTAAAATATATGTGTTGGTTATGTTTCTTATATAGATTTCTGAGCTTTTTTTTTTTTTTTTTTTTTTTTTCCTTTCATCAGATTTGAAATTGGGGCATCCAAAGAGGTACAGGCAATAATGCTTCCCAGATAACTGGGCTGCATCCTAATTTGTAAAATCAGAAGCCCTTAACTTTTCCAAATTATAATTGAGCGCTCCTCCTCCGTAATTCACCCCACCTCACTCCAGAACATCCTTCTTTTACCAGTACTTCCTCCCATCCAACTCATTGACACAGACCCCATGTTGGGCCCCGGTCCAGTGCATCCCTGCATCCATAGTAACCTGACTTCAGCTTTCCTTCGTCGCCATGGTGACGGCTCGGCCGGCCCGGGGGTCGCCATGGTAACCGGGGGCGGGTACCAGGGTCCGGCGGGCTGGGCGCATGCGCGCGCACGCGGGGGAAAGCCTGGCCGCGCCACACGCTCGCGACCCCTCGGCTTCTCCCGACGACATGGCGCTGCGGCGGCGGCGGCGGGGGCTCCTGCTCTGCGCGCGGCTGCCCGACTTCTTCCTGATGCTGCTCTTCAGGGGTGAGCGAGCTTCTGCCTGTTGGGGGGCCCGGGGGGAGGGTAAGTCGAGGGCGATGGGAGCCGAGCGGCCGAGCGGCTGGAGCCCGTCCGGGCGCGAATAGCGGTCCTGGCCCGGGCTCCGCGGCGGAGAGGACTCGGGTCCCGGGGAGAGGATGGGAGAGGATTCGGTCCCGGCCCCGAGGCGGGTCCTGGCGGGAGGCCCGGCATCTGAGGCGGGGCTGGGCCTGCGGGGGACCCCGGCGCGCGGGGAGGCGGGTGGGCGGCCCGCGGGGTCCCCGCAGCCCCGCGTCCAGCCCCTCGTCCTGGGGCTCCCGCGTGTCTCGCTGTAAACAAAGGGACTCGGTTGGGGCAAACCCAACTTTCCTTTCGTGTGAAAATAAAATGGCTCAGATCTCACTCAAGCACTTTAAGGAGAGCTCGCAGACCCCGAAATAGCGTCGGGGCGATTCTGATAAGGACGCAGCGATGTACTTGGGAGCTCGCGTTTGTCTTTCCCACTGTCCGCAATTCCCAACAGAGCCGTGTGTCCCGGGACAGTTGGACAGAAGGACTGAAATAGCTTCTGAGGAGTTGAGGGCGCGTACTGTATCCGGGGCACTTGGAAACTAGTGTTCTTAGTCTTTTTTTTTTTTTTTTTTTTTTTTTTTTTTTACAGAGAGGGAGAGGGATAACGGTCCGCTGCCTCCTGTACACCCCTCCACTGGGGATATGCTTGCAACCCAGGTACATGCCCTTGACTAAAATCGCACCTGGGATCCTTCAGTCCATAGGCTGATGATCTATCCACTGAGCCAAACCATTTTCTGCTAGTATTCTTAGTCTTTAGGACAACTTTGAGAGCTGGGTTTCACTAAACCATCTATTTAATATATAGGATCTGGCCTAAACCTAAACCAGCAGTCAAACATCCCCCGAAGGGTCCTGGATTGGAGAGGGCGCAGGCTGGGCTGAGGGGGTCCCCACCCCACCCAGTACAAATTTCGTGCACCGGGCCTCTAGTTTTCTAGATAAGAAAGCCAAGACCAAAGACAAGTCTCTTTTCTAAGCTGTATCCCAAGTCAGGGGTGTAGACACAAACCCCATTCCGGACCAAGGTCTGTACCACACTCTTCCTCCCTGGTTCTTAGGTCGTTTCATCGTCTGGCTGCTTTACCATTGTCCTCCCGTGATGTTTTGCCGAACATACAAGTGAACACACACGGAGAGACTGTCTCAGAGTGGGGGCGGGAAGGACAGGAGAACAAAGCATTCCTGTGTGTGATGCGCATTCACGTGCAAGTGCCCAGAATGGTGGCGGTGACAGTGGGGGGTCTGGGACAGAAGCTGTGAAAACAGAGCTCTGCGATGAGGGATACCGTTTCAGGATGGAAGTATCCACCGTACACTTTGCCTGGAAAGTCATTTCCAGAAACGTACGTACGTACGTGGCTGAGTGATCTAAGTAGTCAGAGGGGACAAGGGTGTCAGGAATGCCCGGCTCCCGGCTTCGTTGGTCACACGGACACTGTCCTATTCACAGAGGGAACAACTCCCTATTGTTGGGGAGGTCTGCTCACATGAAAGTTTGCAGTTTTGATTGCAGGAGCGTTTGGCAATGTAGCTCAGGAAGGCGTTTCAGTGCAGTGTTTTTTTGTTTTGTTTGTTTTTTTTTAATCTGGAAAACGTTAGGGGCTTCACAGATCCATAACCTCTTTGTAAGCCCTTCTGGAGGAGCTTGTCGGTGGCTTTCTCTATTTAAAGGGCCAAGGTTGCCCTGACTGGTTTGGCTCAGTGGATAGAGCATCGGCCTGTGGACTGAAGGGTCCCAGGTTCGATTCCGGTCAAGGGCATGTACCTTGGTTGCGGGCACATCCTCAGTGGGGAGTGTGCAGGAGGTGGCTGGTTGATGTTTCTCTCTCATCGATGTTTCTCACTCTCTATCCCTCTCCCTTCCTCTCTGTAAAAAAATCAATAGAATATATTAAAAATAAATAAATAAAGGGATGAGGTTTACCTGGACAGGAGAGGAGAAAGAATCACATTTTGCAGAATGTGAACTGTTGACAAAGAAGGTGGTAGGGGTGTGTTAATTCTCTATAGGAACATATTTATTTAGGAGGGAGCCCTTTTTCCATTAATTTATGTTCTAAATACATTTCCAGTAGCTTGAAAACCTTATTCTTCCACAAGTCATGATAGCTGTGTCTTTTTTCTTTTCTTCTTTTTTTTTTTTTTTTTTACAGAGAGGAAGGGAGAAAGACAGAGAGCTAGAAATGTCGATGAGAGAGAAACATCAATCAGCTGCCTCTTGCATACCCTCTGCCGGGGATGTGCCCGCAACCAACGTACATGCCCCTGACCAGAATCGAACCTGGGACCTTTCAGTCCGCAGACCTATGCTCTACCACTGAGCCAAACCGGTTTCGGCTTTTTTTTTTTTTTTTTAATTATTCTTTACTTGCTATTGCTTTTTAGTATTCTCATTTAAACAAAAACACTGGGTTCCCAATATAATACAAATATTCTTCATCCGTTTCCTTTTGTCAGGCTGGATTATAAGAATTGAACATGTGTTCATTCATTTACTACTAATAACCACTCCAAGAGACGGGGGCTATTATTTTTTTCCATTTTGTGAATGAAAAAAACAGAAGTACAGGAAAACTCAGTAACTTGCTAAGGAAGATGCAATTTGGAAATCTCCAACAGTTGGCGTTAATCCGATTTTTGGTTACTCGTATTATTCCATTCGACTGTGGTGTTCTTATTATGGGTCAGTGTAACGGAATTCTCAAATGTTCAAAGCTGTGTGGTTTGTGTATAAAATATTCTTTTGTGGAACGGGTGACAGGTGCAATTCGAGTTTACAAATGTCCTGTCACATGTCTTTTTTTTTTTTTTTTTTAAATTATTGCTGTTAGGCTCCCAAATCTTTGATGTCCTAGAATGAAGTGCTTCATTTAGAATTAAAACAGCAACCGTTTGCATTCCTGGGACAAGACAGTGTGCTGAAGCCTAACAACATTTGAAAATCAAAACTTCCAGGACATTTTAGAAAAAGAAAACAAAGGGGGGGAAAGTTCGCAGCTTTCTATTTGCATGTGTCTGAACTCTTGAAACATTTCAAAAAAAAAAAACCAAACAAAAACAAAAACCAACCCATTTTTATGCTATTTTAATTCTTTTAAATGGTTTGATGGGTGTGATCACGATTGGAAGCTGCGTGTATTTTCACAAAAACAAGGACCACCTGCCTGATGCCAGCAGCGCCTCCTGTCAGCTGTTCACACTGATGACTGGTAGGCATCTGTTCTTGGTTTTTCAGGCTGGGGAGCCTGATAGATAACTGTTAGAAACACGTAATCATAAGAAATTGCAGTTCCACACCCAACTCCTCTGCTCTCTGCTGCTTGCTGTAGAGCACATGTGTCAAACACAAAGCCCGCGGGCCAAATCCGTCCCGCCAGGCCTTGCAATGTGGCCCACACCGCGCTGTCATCACTGCACTCCACTGCGTTTCCATCACAATGACAGTTTATGACTGTTCAGTAAACCATTTGGCCCGCGATTTAGGCTGGATTTTAGATTTTGGCCCCTTCTCTGATTGAGTTCGACACCCCTTCTGTAGAGGCAGCCCAGGAGGGTGGGCTAAGTCAGTTCTTTAGAAGGAAACCAGATTTGTGATAAGCTTTCTGAAAGGACCCAATAATCACTATTGAATAGTGCAACTGAAGAAGCTCTCTATCTTGGATTTAGTACATCCAACTAGCAGCTGGTGGAGATGTGATATTAGCAAATTCCTCTTCTGTACATTCTTTGAATTTTTTCAGAGCACAAGTGGAGGAAAAGGGAGGAAGATATGTGTGTGTGAACGAAGCTAGGATGTATGGCATCGGCTGAATTAGGCATGAAGTTGCATTCTTTCTCTCTTCCATTTATTCTATTCGTGAGAGTTACAGATGTCTCGCATTCCACTCCCCTTTGCATACCTCCACTTGGCTCCCGATTCACCCAGGCCAGTGGTCGGCAAACTCACTGTCAACAGAGCCAAATACCAACAGTACAATGATTGACATTTCTTTGGAGAGCCAAAAACCGACTTCTGCAATGGGCCACGAAGTTTCAGTCGCACTGTACGTGTGCGCCCGCACATGGTTTTTTGTGGAAGAGCCACACTCACGGGGCCAAAGAGCCACATGTGGTTTGCCTACCACTGAGCCAGGCTTCCACTTGTCTGTTGTCTGTGTCCATATATGCATACAAGTGCTTTGGTTAATCTCTTCCCACTGGCTTCTCTCTTTTAAGATGTGTTTGCAGTCAGGTGGTATGCATTTGGTGCTGTGAGAGCTGCATGCAGATTGCAGATCTGTATGGACCCTCTGAATGCTAACAGTATGCAAATCGCCTCACTGGAGTAGGATCGGAACACTGGGCAAGCACATTCTTTTCCACTTAGTTTAGCAAGGACAGTATCGACTCTGGAACCTGACAGTGATATGGAAAGCCTTCATTTACTGCTTCTGCCACCTGCCATCTCACACAGAAAGCTTCCTGAGAATGAGTACTTGTCTTCGTGACAAGGAATGCTGCCGTATGTTGTTGGTGTGTTTCCTTTGTTTGTAAGGAGAATCTACTATGGGTTATATACTTCCTAGGAGTAGTTCATATGTACAGCAGGGGTTTCAATGCTGGTTGTGTAGGATTTTAGAGAGTAAGGGAGAGGGAGGGAGAGAGAGAAACATCAATGATGAGAGGGAATCATCTATCGGCTACCTCCTGCTTGAACGGAGCCTGCAACCCGGGCTTGTGCCCCGACCTGATTCATAGATTGACACTCAACCACTGAACCACGCTGGTCGGGATGAAACATCAAACCTTTTTTTTTTTTTTTTTTTAATATATTTTATTGATTTTTTGCAGAGAAGAGAGGAGGATAGAGAGTTAGAAACATGGATGAGAGAGAATCATCCATCAGCTGCCTCTTGCACACCCCCTACTGGGGATGTGCCCGCAACCAAGAT